GAGAGCTAAAGAGAGCAGACTGCTCCGTGCGCTTTCGAATCGCTCTCGCGGATGATCGATCTGCGCCGCACCTCTTCTAGTCGAACACACCGGCTAGTGCTGCAGGCTTATTGGCTCACTGACGCGGAGGAGATTAAACCCTAACCCCTGGTATCGAACGACGAGACGTTTTTCGATACTCGATGGTATCGAGGCAATTCGGTCAGTGCCTAAAAAGTATCAAACTCGATACCCAGCCCTAGTGTTTACAGGACAAATTTTCTCATATATAAATTCGCTGTTATGTCGGTTTCACAAACACAAAGTCTGTAACAAGGCTTTTGAGAGACACAGCTGCAGGGCCGCAAATCATGAATGACAGCTGAGGACCGGAAACAGCACTGGACAGCTGGCGGTGAAGTGACTGCAATCCCTCAACACACACACAGCTGGCCAGCGTCTGATGACAGGGAACAGCTGGACGAACAGTCCCACAAACACAATTGAGAAAGGCTCAAGGCCAAATTTGGGAACTGGACATAACTGCAAAACTCTGCACTGCTTTTGAATCCAAGCTGATATTTGTATGGTCATCATTCATTTCCAGTGATATTAAGTTAAAATTCTGTAGACAACATTTAAAGGTAAGGCATTTAAAGTCCACCCCAAAATGATTCATTTATTTATCTATCATTATTAAATATTATTATAAGTGAATGGATCAGTGTTTTTAGTATTTTATTATAGTATTAAATACTATTATTATACTATTATAGTATTTATTATACTTATATAATTTTATATAATATTTTGAAGTGACTTTGATTTTTATATTTTCAATTCACTTTCACAGTTTATGTTTTAGTAATTTTGTGTGCTTTTGTAATTTTAATTAGTTTATAATTTCTATATAGCTTTAACTTTTTATTTCAGTTTTAGTATTTCAAATTCAAATTCCAAGGCAGCATTTCTAATTTTCATTGAAGTTAAGTTTTTCATCCAATATTTTAGTTTATTTTAGCTTTATTATTACATTTCAATTACAGAAAATTAGTTCCAAAAATGACAAAAAGTTCCATTATCTAACAAAAGTAGACCATACAACTAGTACACTATACTCAAAGTCTTCCATAACTTTTCTTGAGGAACAGACTGAAATTTAAGACAGTTCCAGTCCCCATGAACTTTCATTATATGGAAAAGAGCAGCTTGAACACTCTGCCAAACCTCTTATTTTATGTTCCATGGAATATTTCAGATTTGAAAATTTTATGTAATTATACCTTTGACTTTTGTTTAAAATTGTTCGGATACGTAATGTAGCATACAATTGGTTAAAGTCTGACAGTCTGACCACACACACAACAATATGCTTCTCTGGCCATATATGGAAGAATGAGTGTTTCTTATAATGCGTGTTTATCTTTTCTAAGAAAAGAAAAGCAGGTGTAGGGAGAAAATGGAGGAAACGACAGACAGGGAAGGTTAGTGGCCTTTTGTCTGTGCCCAACTGGCTGGGTAACATGATCTGATGGGTGGCCCGCTCCCCCCTCTCTTTCTGTCTCCCTCACACACACACACACACACACACCTCTTCCCCTCGACACCTGTTACTATTAAAACACTTCCAGCTTAAAGATCAGCGGCGTGCGAAAGAGGGAGCCATGTAACATAAGTGTTGAGATAAAACAGCCCTATTGGGAATCTGAGCTCAGACTGACTGTGCTGTACAACAGCTTTGTAACTGGAGATTAAATGTTTTGGGCCTAATGTAGAGGAGAGAGAAGATAACCTCCACAGCTGTACAGGAGTTGGGTCTAAACCCATTCACTACCGGCTCGGACGGATAAACACAATCACAATGCCACTCAGTAATCTAATGCTTTCCAGTCCAATGTGTTTAAAGCTGTTCAGAAAACAAACCCTGACTTGTTAGCTTAAACCTCTGATTGGTTTTAATGTAATCTTATTTGGGTGTTTCTTCACTTGGGTGCCCACCTCAGAAACTTTACCATGCGTTTATTTATTTTTCTATTTTCCAAATGCCTTTTTACGCATAGATTTTATTTTACACTTTACTCAAGCTATGAAAATCACAGATTTAAATCATGATGGAAAAAAAACAGTGAATAAAGTAAGCATTTTATTAGGTGAAAATGATTTATAAGTGTGAGTGCATATATTTACTTATTACATTAACATCTGTGACAAATAGAAAGCTTAATAGAACATTAAAAGAACAGCATTTATTTGAAATATATATGTGTGTATATAAATACATGTGTGTATACATGTATGTATATCTATTGCACAAATTTCATGGGGGTCTGGTTATGATTCCAAATGTGTTATTGATCTAATTGCGTCTCTTCTGCTCTAGTGCCCCACTTGCCAGACACTCTCTCGAGCTGTTATCTGATAGACAGTGTGCGCACACTGAGCTCTTACCCACATAATGCTCCACATCACTGACAGATAACGAGAGAGGGGGCAGTTTAAGCCCCAGTCCATCCAGGTCATGGACCGCTATGGGGTAATGGAAGCCCTCCGTCTCCAGGTAGCGCTGGGTCACCTGGCTCCCCTGCATTGGCACCAGAATCTCATGGCCACTTTGAAACAGCCAAGACACACAGAAATCATTGTAAGTTGTAAATCTTATCAGGTAGGTGCAAATTCCAAAGCCATAACTAGACAATAGTCAAAGTAGGAAAGTTCAAGGTCTAATCAAGTTTTTGTCCAGAGGTGCTTGTACCTGGCAAAGCTCCTGGCCTGGAGTTGCTGTACAAACACAGCAGTTCCTGCCTGAACGAGGCGTGTGCCATCATTTGGCTCAGTGTAGTCATGCCTGTGCCAGTTGTTGCGCTTTTTCACTGCAAAAGAGAAGGAAACATTAATAAGCCTAATCCTGGAACACAACAAAAGCAATTTAGAAACACGTGTAGATGCACACACTTACTCATAGAGGGTCCATGGATGGGCTCACAGTTGGGACAGTGATAAACATCGATATCAGCAGAATGGTGCTCCACTACCTGAACACAACTGAAAAAAATAAAATAAAAAACGCAGAATAAGTACCCTAATATAATTCTGCCACAACCATATGAATGTTGCAGTACCCACTAGCAAAGAACACAAACTAGTCTAATTCTTAAAAATTTAAATTTGAGGTTAGCCAGCATTCTTTTAGCCATTAGCTATGCAAGCAACTTCACCACATAATTTACTTTTCTTTGGATGAGAACTCATCACTAAACATCACTTCATACACTAATACAACAATAAAACAAAAATATCTATAGTGTCGAGTTAGGGGTGGGCGATATGACCAAAATCTAAGATCACGATACGAGTAATTTTATTTCACGATATATATATAATGATATATATCACAATATAGTTATTTTTGCTTTAGATATGGTCTTTACAATATCAACATTTTTGATACCATAGAAATTTCTTAATTCTTGTCACCAGTGTTATTACCACAAAAAAAATAATACTAACCAAAATTAAAATAAAAAAAAAACTCACTGAGGACATGTAAATAGAATAAGAAACTAATTACAAGCAATAGGACAAAAAACAAAACAAAAAAAAACTACAAACTACAGTAGAATAAATAAATAATAAATTCTACATAAATTGTTTAAAGTAATCAAATTGATAAAAACACTGCATAATCGTCACTGTGTAAATTAAAGGGGTCATCGGATGCCCGGGATGCATCGGAGTTGATATGATTCTTTAGGGTCTTAATGAAAAGTCTATAACATACTTTGGTTAAAATTTGTCAATGGTAGCGTAAAACAACACCCTTTTTACCTAGTCAAAATCAGCTCGGTTTTCAGCAAGCCATTTTAGTCCATATTCCTTTAAATGGTAATGAGCTCTGCTGACCCCGCCCCTCTCTTCCGTAGGGTGACAAGCCGTTCTCATGAGACTGTTTACTTTAGCCGTGGAACTTGCTAACTAGCACGTTATTAGGAAAGGTGATTTGCAAAGATTCATAAAAGAACCTTTTACTCACTTCTTCTGTAGGTGAGGCTGGATCACGAATGATTCGCACGAAGATAGACGCATTTAGGCAGATCCCTTCAAAAACAAAGGTAATCCACTGTGTCTTCAGCGGCTCAGATGTCGGGAGTAAATGATGACTGCTATGTTAATTATAACATCCAACAATAGAACGCCTCAATCGCTAAGGAGACATTCTTGTCTACATCTGCTCCAGAGTCGAAACAATGGCGGACTGATGAAAGCTCACTTGGGGCGGGTCTAAGATAAAACGCTACTGTCAATCAACAATTATGGTAGGGCCTGGGTCTGTGTGACGTCACACAGACAGGCATCTGAGAATGGCTTGATTTGAGAAAGGGGAAATGATTTAACGAGATTAAAAAATACCCACTGGGTGGATCTTTATCATTATAGGGTGGTTGTGTACACACACACTGCCAACACATATTTCAGTTCAAACAACTTGTAAAAGTGCATGTCGCATCCGATGACCCCTTTAAATAGCCTATATATTTCTTCTTATTAAAGTTACAAAAGTGATTTAGTCAAGAGCACCGATACATTTTCTCTCTTTTGTTGTTTGCTTAACATAAATGACAGACAGAAGAAATATTATACTGCTGTCACTTTAAGAGCTGCCCGGATCCAATATACTGTTATACATGTGTTTTCTTTCTCAGCTGTTTGCTTTCACTTAAGACCTAAAACACTTTGTTTACAAAGATACCTGCAAAGACGGGCATTTTGACATACAAGTGTGTGCATTTAACCGTTCAAGGTCTATAAAGCGGCAAAACATCTCTGTTAAATACTTTGTACTAGTACTCTGTGAGCACCGTCTTGATGTGCATGCGGACGTAGCGAAATGAGTTTCCTTTTGCTGCTGTGCTGATTGCATTTAAACTAGGGATGCACCGAAATGAAAATTCTTGGCCGAAGCCGAAACCGAACAAAATTAAACACTGGGCCGAAGGCCGAATAC